ATGTTTTTAAACATGTGAGCAGACCAAACAAAACACATCTGTTGGCCAACAGTTTGGGATCGCTATACGAGAGCCAGCAATAGCGCCTTGCACCCAAAAGTCACTAGCCAGATAGCAGCACATGTCTCTAAGCTCTAACCTGGTGGCAGTGGTTTAAAGTGCTCATTCCTTCAAGCAGACCAATCTTCCTTCCTTATTCCCTGATGGAAAGCATGGAAGGATAAAGTAGAAAACCAGTGGACAAGCTCATTCTGAGATTCCCATAGGGAATGCACAGAGCAGTGAGCTGGGTGCCCAGGAGCCTCTCCTAGGTGGGACAAAAGTGCCCGCACTCACCTTTGCATCTACCTCGATGTACCACACCCAGGGTCGGGTCTCGGCACTTGGCTCGCTGGTACTCACACATGGACTCGTAGGACCTGCCATCGGAGGCACAGATGGGTTTGGGTTGAGTCCGGGAGCAGTGGAGGTTGCACTGAGGGTCACGGTCACTTATTAGGAACTAGGTTGGAAAAAAAGTGAAAGGGATAAAGGTTACTTTTGCAAGAAAAGTGAGTCCATTACTGACAATACTTGTTTGCTCTCAGAAAGTAAGTCCTGAATAGATCCAAAGGTGTAAGACCCTAGCGGTGGAAGGGAACTGAGCAACCACAAAGTCTAACCAACATCATAAGAACAATCATGGTGTCTGACATTGACTGAACATGCCAATTAACTGTGCTAGTAATTCACATGTAGGATCTCACTACTGCTCACAACAACCTATGAAATAGGAACTATTCTGTAGACAAGGAAACTGAACGACAGGGAGAGGTAACTTGCTCAGTGTTACATAGCTAGTAAGTAGTGGAGGCTGGATTTAAACCTAGATCTGTTGCAGGCAAAAGTCAAAGCTTTAACCACTAGGACATTCTGCCTCTTTGTCCATGTGACCTCTAATGCGTACTTCTTCAGATCAGGAACTCACTGTCAATAGCAAATTCTATTTTGGGGAAGACTTATTTGTTTGAAAGTAGTATTGAGCCCAAATTTATCCCTCTGCAGTTTCCACCCACTGCTGTATGGCAGAATATAAGTGATGTGATTTTCTGGGGGAAAAGGATTTTATGATTTAAATAAAACAAAACCAGTAATAACCAGCTTGGGAAATGCTGGGTTACACAAGTTTCCTTACTGCAGGACATCTTGGACACCTTTGGTACATTCTTACGCACTGTGAATCTTTGAGAAGTACAGCAAATTATTTGCTACTCCTCCCATTGAGCAAGGAAGTCTAATTCCCTCCTCTTGAATCCGGACTGGCCTCAGTAACTTGCTTGACCAATAAAAATGCTATTGAAGTGATGGTCTGGAACTTTTGAGCTAAGTCATAAGAAGTCTTGTAGCTTCCTCCTTGCAACACTCACTCTGGGGAAACCAGCCACCATGTAAGAAGCCTAACAACTCTGAGACCACCATGCTATGAGGAAGCCCAAGCTAGCCGTGTGGAGAAACCATGTGGAGGGAGAAATGTTCAACCAACCCAGGTACAAAGACATATGTAGAAAGAAGTTTTCAGATGAGTCCAGCTGCCACCTGACTGCAGCTTACAGAGACAAGTGTAAATCATTGTGTGAGAGACCTCATGTGAGAACCAGCCAGCTGAGCCCAATCAACACACAAAACTGTGAGATATAATAATAAACAGTTGTTTTAAGCCACTGACTTTTGTGGTAGTTTGTTACACAGCAATAGATAACCAGATCAAGAGGCATATACTATGAAGCATCTTCAAATTTATTTGACCATGAACCCCTTTATCAATGAACTGCTGGTAATGACTGTAGAATACAGTTGGAAAATAATAATTGGGCCATACAATCCATGAGCTTCTGTTTAATCACCCATGATTAGACTGCACGGGCCTTGAGAACTGGGTCCACTCTTATCCACCTCCTTATAGCGGAGCCCTGGGCAAACTGAAGGCTCTTCATCTGTATTGACTGGTTGAGGGAATGAATATCCCATGGTAATGATGCACAGCAATGGCATGAGCACACATCAGGCAGCTGGTAATGCTAGAGTTGATCGAACAATCATACCGAGCTCATAGACATTTAGGGAAAGCGAAACTACAACCTCAGCAAACATGTTCCTCTGTTTCAGATGCATTTGCAGGCCCTTTGTGTGAATCAAACAGATGAGAAATTGCTGATCTTTTTCCAGAACAGCAGAGGGAGGTCCAGAGGCAGTACCACTCTCTTCAAGGGAGCACTGGAAATACATACTGTACATTGGCCAAATTCTGAGAGAGTCCACGCCTGTCCATTAATACACAGAACACATCTCAGGTATAATGCCTGTCCCTTCTGCTACCTTGACCTCATGTCTGGGTGCTGGCTGGTCAGCACAGGGAGGATACAGCTGAGGTCTGAAGCTAGTACCTGGGCCTTGTCGGGATGAACAGTCAACTCAGCGCTCTCTTCAGGTTTCTGAGCTTCCATACTCATACGTTAAACCTGAGACCTAGCCAAAGCCCAAAGGGAAATGCCCTGAATGTGTCTCCTGAGTGCAGTGTTTAGGATAAAATAATACACAAAGTCATACAGGGATGCCCATCCCCTGCCAGCTTGCCACAGTGTGAAGGGATGAGCTGACCAGAGTAGCTGGAGGAGGCATTGTCATCCACACCCCAACCCCTGCACAGGGCAGCTCCCCTGCTCAAAATCCTTGAGTGGTATGCCTCTGCCCATCAGGAAAAGCACAACTTCCTTCATATGGTCTCCTAGGCCTGGCAGAATCTGATCCCAGGCCCCTCTCTGGCCTCAGCCCCTACTGACTGGTTCTCCTCCTTGCTTGCTGGTGGTGGGGCCTACTGGCCTGTTTCCATTTCTCATGAGCTGCATTTGCTCCTACCTCCAGGCCTTCATACACGCAGATCCTTCTCCTTTCCCTCCCACCCCCACTTCAGATTTCTGCTCACATCATTGCTTCTGGGCGGCTTTCCCAAATTCTCACAGACGAGGGTGGGTCCCCCTGACACTTCACTTATCCTTCAGGGTTCTTGACACATTTTGTGATGATGAATTTATTTGTATGATTTGAATACTAAAGGAATACCCAACTCTAAGACAAGGATAATGTCTGTTTTGCCTGTGAACACATACCCAGCATCTATCAGGGCACTCAATTATTTGCTGGATGAATGCACCCTGTAGTGGCATTTCCCACAGAGAATTACCTCAAAACCAGCCGGCGTGACGTGATAGGCCTGGCCCCCTAGACTCATGTCACCCCAGGGGATCACTGGGGCCACTCCCCTCACCCCCATGCTCTGACCTTTCCCCTTCTCAAGCCATGTTCTCCCCTCCACCCTCCATACTGACATTCCACTCTGGGTATAGGTGGTCCACAGCTTACTGTCCTAGCTCCACCTCAGAAATTGTCACCTCTGAAGCTAAGGTGGGCCTCTCCTCTCTCTTGTCCTGGGTTCCTCTGTTACTCTGTTACTATACCTTTCCCAGCCCATGACCCTCTGTGCAACACAGAAAATTTGGAAGACAAATGTTGAGCTGAATAAGGCAGGCTTGGGAAGCCCTGGCCCCAGGTTCCTGGATGGGACAGGACTCAGTTGCTAGTTCCAAAGCGGGCCTCAAAGTCTCTCTTCTGATTCATCTGCAGCCTGGATGTGCAGCCTAAGCCTGGCTCTGTAATTCTCCCCGGTGAGCAGCAGGCTCCAGGTCAGGGGGCAGCACTGGTGCTCTTACACCCTGGCTTCCGGGTCAACCAGTGGCCTCAAGGCTGTCCAAGAGCAAGTCAAGGCGCTGTTATGATCATGCCATGATCTCCTTGTGAGTGGACATCTGTGCTCCCTACCTGACCTTTCAACATCTACTTTAAGAGGTTCTTTTGCCACATGGATCAGCAGGAGCCCAGGAGCAGCATGTCCTTTATTCTGATGATCAGATAATGTCAGAAATATCTTCACCTTCTAACTTCTGGGAAAACCAAAAAACTTGTCCCTGGTCTCAGAGGGATTCTGTAGTGAAATACTAACAAAGTAATTATTTTGTAAAGAGCCCTGGTGGCGCAACAGTTACTAACACTCAGCTAAATGCTCAGCTGCTAACAGAAGGGTTGGCAGTTTGAATCCACCCAGCAGCTCGGAGGGAGAAAGTCCTTGTGATCTGCTTCCGTAAAAATTAAAACCAAGAAACCCTATGGGGCAGTTCTATTCTGTCACATAGGGTCGCCATGAGTCGGAATTGACTTTATGGTACCCAACAACGACAATTATTCTGTAGAGTAATAATAATAAATCCATTGCCGTTGAGTCTATTCTGACTCATAGTGACCCTACAGGACAGAGTAGAACTGCCCCATAGGGTTTCGAAAGCTGCAGTCTTCACAGAAGCTGACTGCCACATCTTTCGTCTGCAGAGTGGCTGGTGGTTTCAAACCTCTAACCTTTTGGTTAGCAGGCAAGCGCTTTACCACTGCACCACCAGGGATAGCTGATAATTATATATCACTTATAAAAATATTAACTAATTTAATCTTCACAATAACCCCATGAGGTAGGGTATATTACCATCCTCGTTTTACAAACAAGGAAACAAAAGCACAGAGAAGTTAGGCAACTTGCCCTAGATCAAACAACATATAAATGTCTAGCAGGCATACATAGATGGCCTGGCTCCAGGGCTATGCTTCTAACCACTACACTGCACTGCTTTTCATTGTTACAGAGGAACACTGCAAACAGATACACTGACCCAGTGGCAAAAATATTCACAAAGTCGAAAATGGTGTACTAAAAGCCTACTGTGTCCAGTTCCAAACCCAGTTGTCGTCAAGTCGATTCCCCCGCATGGTGACCCCGTGTGTGTCAGAGTAGAACTGTGCTCCATAAGGTTTTCAATGGCTGATTTTTTGGAAGTAGATTGCCAGGCCTTTCTTCTGAAGGGCATCTGGGTGGGCTTGAACTCCCAACTTTTTGTTTTGTTTTGTTTTTAATACTTAACATTTTATTTCCATAACATTCTGGAAATGACAAAATTATAGAAATGGAGGACAGATTAGTGGGTAACAGGGGTTATGGAGGATTCCCTGGGTGGCGCAAATGGTTAAGCACTCGACTATTACCCAAAAGGTTGGCAGTTTGAACTCAATCAGAGGCCCGTTGGAAGAAAGGCCCATTGAACTGCCAACCTTCTGGTTAGCAGCCAAGCTTGTAAGCATTTGCACCATCGTGCCAGACCCTAAACGCTAAAGATCCATAACCCAAATACGACAGTCCTGCCCTCCAGGCACTTTAAGCAGAAAGTAAGATGCTGTGACAAGGGTTCTTGCTCACCTTCTTTCTTTGGAATTAAAATCCAAGCAGACATTCCCACCGTGTACAATATTCCAATACTATTTTATCACTGTAGGGAAAAAAAATTTTAAGAGAACATACCAAAAATGAGGGCAAGAGAAAGACAAAGTCGCTTTTCAAACTCAGGGAGGTTGCCATGTTGGCTG